CATGCCTGGAGCAGTACCAGGATGATGCGCAGTGGAAAAGTCGCAGGCCAGCTGGGTTCTGGCTCAGGATTGGGCAATGGCAGCCAGGCTCCTGCGAGGCAAAGGGACTAAAAGTGCTCTCTGTCGATGTGGAAGCCAGAACCAGGCTCAGTGCCTTAAGGGCCAAGCAAAGGACGCTGAACAAAACAATCTCTGACCTCTCAGTGGAAAATATGGCTTTATCAGAGTCTGTGGACCTAGAGAGTCTGGAAAGCCACAGCCTCAAGTAGGAAGTGAATGAGATTCTTGCTGCTTGGTAACCAGATCTGTAATAGTCTCATTGTTCCCACAGGGTAAGAACTACAAATAAGAACTGGTTCTGCACTTAATGCCAGGAGTCCAGATGGTAGTAACCACAAAACCACTAGGGAAGAACAGAAGGAGAGGGAGAGAAGGAGGGAGGGAGGGAGGGAGGGAGGGAGGTGAAAGAAATCTGCTATCAGCCTAATTATGGTTCCTTCATTGGTCATCTCCTTTTCTTCCTTTCCCTTGGTATCCTGAAGTTTCACTTGAAAGTACTTGGGTATAAATTTAACTTTGTTTATTTTGTTCAGTACTCATAGCACACTTTTAGCCTAACAAATCACATACTGTTTTTAGAATATTCACTTAAATATTTCTTCCTTACCAGTTCACCGTTCTCTTTTTCAGGAACTCCTACTGACTGTTGGAACTTCACAATCTCTTTTTCCATATCCCTTTGCTGCTCTATCTCTCTACCTATCATCTATCTAATCTCTCTAAATTACATTTTTGGTCAGTTCTTCATGACTACTTTCTAATTCACAAATTTTCTCTTTAAATCTATTTATTTCTTAAATTTTTATTTTGATGCCCATATTTTTCATTTTTAAGATTTATAATTAATTCTTTTTTAATATCCTCATGTTCTTGTTTCATGTTTTTATTTCATAATTTCGTGTCCTTTTTTTTGAAAGGAAGTTATTCATTCTTTTATCTTTTCAACATCCTAGACATACTTATTTTAAAGTCTTTGTCAGGTTGTTCCTTAAAGCCATCTGGAATGAATTAATGTTCCAACAGTAGATTTTGCTGCCTATCTTTCTTGGTATTAGATTTTATTTTTTATGTGCTTACAATGTTTGGCCTGTAGGCTGATTTTGAGTAGAAGATTCATTCTCACTCTCATATTTTAATATAAGGCAAAAACATTAATAAAAACAGAAACCGCATACAAATAAAGGGAACCAGCTACCAAGAAGATATTTTATATAAATGTTAGTAAGATTGCATATTATAAACTACAAATAAAGGAAGATAGGTGCAATTATTTGTCAGATACTTGGGACCTAGTGCTTACCATGAGACCTTGTATATAGTAGATGCCTCAATTCATAATATAATTAAAGAAACTTGGCTTTGGTTTGTTGAAGACTTCAGATTGAATTGTTTGAACATAATGAGCAACCAATTTTGAGCTACCCAAATTAAGAATCTCTAAAATGAAATTACACTAGATCATATTTTGGCATCACAGATGTAAACTATGCAAGAAAATTCTAGTCACAAATTTAAAATTAGAATCCCAGGTAAAAGTTCTATCTTGTATTTTATTTCTAACCAATAGCATTAAAGAAATGACCCTACTTGACCTCTTTTTCCTCACTATTCCTTCAACTAATCACTGAATACAGTCCTCATAATTGATGATTGTATAAAATATATGCCCCAAACTTTTTGTCAAGATAGACTCTCATAAAATGTCCCATTTGTATAAAATTTAGTGTATCCAAATGGTTTCTTAAGTAACTTCCACTGGAGCTAACCTCCGCTTACAGACAGACATTCTTTGTGCTAATGTTCCAGACATCACATGTAGAAGGAAGGAACATGATGATTAGCCAAAAAAACTATAATTATGAGACCTAGTGACTGATAATGTATTCCACTTTTACCTTTGCTAATGTTTTCACAAAACTGGGCTGGGCTCAGTGTTTTTACGCTAGAATCTGTAGACATTTATCCACCTAATAAAATAACCACACAATCTGGCGAAATTCTGCATACTTGGCAGCCCTTCCCACCCCAAAGCCTGGAACAGCATTGGCCCAGCAGGTGTGGCTTTCAGAAAGGCCAGAGAGCTAAATTTGGGAAACCTGCCCAGCACCCCACCGGTGGGGGGGAGGGCGGAGGGGCAGAGCAGTGCGCCTTCCTGAAAGCCATGTTGGTATGATACCCCAGCTTTTTAGCAGCCCAAAGAGCTTTATTCATTCACAACAGATAATGAAAACTACAGTAACTGAGAAATTGACACTAGAGACCAAAATTACAATAAATTGAATTTCTTCTTAATAAGAGATGCCATGTATTTTTAAAGATTTTTTTGACATTTAGAATATACATCCTACACAGCATTTGGCACTATTGAACACATGAGAAACCTACTCTTCCCCTTTTAACCAAAGTAGCCCCCTTTTTTCTTAAAGGGTAAGGTAGAGAGAAGAGAAGAACTCTCAACAATCTGAACCCTAGGAAGGAGAAAAGGAAAACTGTTTTCTTAAATATATTTTTTTTCATAAGATGCTCTTTAACTGCAGGATCCAGTTAGAGAGACCAGACTTCCTGGGCCCTATGGGCCCTACAGTCAGAATCAGCTGCATATATAGAACACTCTCTGGATAAATACTAAGAGAACTTGAATATAAAAAGGTGATTGTAAAACAACACAGCATAGCGAAGCCTTATGCCAAAGATAAAACCATTAACACCAAGGGAAACTGAAGGGGGGAGGGGGACCGGACGCTGCCTGTCAGAGCAGAACCCTGTAAGAGCAGCTGTGTAGACACTTGTCCCATTCAGTTTCCCAGGACGCTGAAAGGTCACTCGCTGATGGTCGGGGTTCCAGTAAGAATGGACTGTGTGAGTGGCCAGGAGCACTTTCCTGCTACCCCTCGTCCTTGAGTGGCTAAGCTTGAGGCAGACAAATGTGTGGATCTTTACAGCTTCCACTTGATCTTACACCTGAGTCATCTTTTATTTATGTCCTCCTATGGCACAGAATAGTTGTGGCCAACACCATTCATCAGCCTAATGGGCTCAATTGGAAAGCTCTCAAATCCCCTGGGACATGCCTTGTTCTAAGAAAAGAATTGTTAACGGAGCTTCTTAAACTAGGAATTTGTGTCTTCCCATAAATTGACCTTGTGAGGTTATTTGTGGATCCCAATAGGGAACTGGTCTCCTTAGGCCCCTGCAGCTCCTCAGCCCTCCCCACCCCCACCTCAGCCAGAGGATGTCCTCTGCCAGCTCCTGCCAGCTCTAAGCCACACAATGAGGCATTCAATAGGAACCATACTTTGAATTTTGAATTTTGATCTCTTCCCGGGCTAGTGATACACCATATATGATACTCTCTTGTGATTCTGGGCAGTGGCAGTGAGATGACTTTGCCCAACTACAGCTAATGTAAGTCTCTGAGCATATGTAAGGTAAGCAGCCCAAGCAATGGTGCTTGCAGGTTCGGTGTATTGCATGCATCTTTTAAAGATTTTTTATTGATTTTTAGAGAGAAGGAGGGAGAGAGAGAGAAGCATCAATGAGAGAGAAACATCCATTGGTTGCCTCCTGCATGGTCCCCACTAGGGTTTAAGCCTGCAACCCAGGCATATGCACTGACCAGGAATCAAACTGGCGCCCTCTTCTTGGTGCATGGGTCAATGCTCAACCGCTGAGCCACATCAGCTGGGCTGCATGCATTTCGACTTACGATATTTTCAACTTACTATGGGTTTATCAGGACATCAGTGGAGAAGCAGTTGTATGTTCCTGTCTGCGAACTGTGCTCCTCTGCTTTCCACGGTAGACTCAAATGCTTCGAGTATGTTTCTTGCTGGATCTGTTTGTTCCAGTGAATTTGTTAGTGTAATTGTGGCATTTAATGAATCAATATATAAACCAAAGAAGCGTGAGGGGGGAAAAGGAGATTATTGTAAAAAAAAGTTTAATTTATATTTTTCTTATTTCCAACTTAAATAAAAAATTGGTAATGACCACCTACCCCCATCATATCAGATATAGTGGCTTCAAATGACTGATAAACTCCCATCAACCACATGACCATATTTGTGAGTTACATCCTTTCTTAGTTTTTCTTGACAGTATTGTCTATGGAAAAACATCCATAGCTGTTGGTGTGTTTGTAAATTGGGTTATCTTTTCTCCTTAGATTTAACCTAAGAACCAGTGTCTGATCTAAGTATCAGTGTAATCTGCCTTGATAGAAGTTGTTGTGTAGCCCTTCTATTCACTCCTTTAAGCCATGGTAAACTCTTGTAATGCTCACAGACACATATTTAATTAACCTCATGGAAGAGAAATAGAAAATCTGGTCATCATAATTGTTGCCCTTGAAAGTGAGACAATGTGTGTATACAAACATCCTGTCACTTTCTAACATAATATAACATTAGAAGTTATTTACAGCCACCCCAAGGTGGACAGACCCTTTATGTGACTATTGGAGGACGTAATAATGATTTTTGGATGTATGGATACACAGGGAAAGACATTTCTATGGGGCTGCTGTACAGGGATCTCTGATTAATGAATTAAGAATTAAGTCATGCTGAATTCATCCCACAAATATGTGTTAAGTGTCAACTGTATACCTACCAGTTGGCTGGTAACTGCTGGGGCCACAATAAGCCACAAAGGCTAGATGCTTGTGACAGAGCTAAGACTTCCGGCCTATGGGAAATGCGGAGATGCCGTTTCCTCACCAGAACCACACTCTCTGAAAGGCTCTGACCAGGTGTGCACCTGACCAGTGGGACAGGATGGTGTGAGGGGAAAGAAAGCATTCTCATGAAATTTACGAGTTCTCAACATCTTACTGGTAGTCTTGCTCAAGTAATTATGCATCAATTTTTCTTACAGTGTGTGGCGTTTGACAAGGCACTTGCCAAGGCTACAGAATCTCACTGCGGTGTTTTCTCTTCTAGGATATCAATGAGTGTATTCTCGAAAACTATCCCGAGTGTTCCAACCCCAGGCTATTTTACATTATCCCGTACTTCTGTGGACAGCATCCCAGATGCAGGTAAAGACGAAAGCTCATGGCATGCTCATGGGGAGAACAGGGGCACAATCTCTTGTCTCTCAACCTCCTGGAATTCAGTTAATATGGACTGTTAATCTTTGAAGATCTCATTTGAGACTCTGAATGTCCTGCAAATAAAAAAAAATTAACCAGTTCTGACAGAGGCCTTGGGACAACCCCACTGAAATGCCAACCATAGTGTTTTTTTAGACTGTGTGTTAAGCAGCTGTTGCTACGGAGCCACGAGATAGTAAGGACCAGTGGTGAGCACCAGCCTGCTCCTCCACAGTGACTGCACCCCATCCACAGCTGTCCTGGCCTGTGTGGCATGTCTAATTGGGTCTGAAACATTGGATGCTCACACCCATAATTTGATGGTATCTCTCATGAGACATACTTGGTAGAAAGAGAGGGAAGTGCTTTCTAGTGATTTCCCTCTTTAGAGGGGGACTTACTCAGATCTAAGGGCCCACGTCCTGCATCAGCATTCCCAGGGTACTTGTTAGAAATCCTTATCTCATCAGTCTCTGGGTCTGGAGCAGGCCTTTGTAACCATCTCAAAGGTGATTCTGTTCTAGTTACAGTTGCAATTTATTGTGCTGGACAAATGTGCAGCCTGGAGAAGAAATAGTAGTGACAATGAATACCATCTTTGCTTGATGGAAAATAAACCCTATTATCAGGAGCAGCACTTTTCCCCAGAGAGACATGAATTAGAAGGTCACTGTGTTCCTGAAGAGATCAGGGGCAGAGAGCTGGTTCCAAGTCACAGCTCATTCACTGTACTTGTTGCTGCCACACGATTACTACTTCATTGTTATGTGTATTGCTGTGGTGTTGAGTTGACCATAACACAAAAGTTTGTTCATGGTCAGAATTCCTGGGCTAGAAGTGTCAGTGTTCTATGAGATCTGCTCTATAAATGAGATTGGGGGGGGAGGGGTCCTCCTATAATTTCAAAAAACAGTCTTAAACTTTTTTTAAAAAAAATAAGATGATTAGCAGACATGACCCGACCCCTATTCTGAGTCCTACAGAAATACTATGTCAATGAATTTCACATTTCAACACTTCTATCTTTATCTCATTGCTTCTGTTTGGTCCTCATAATAAAAAGCTATTCAAATCACTCCTTGGTCAATGTTTATTAGGGCTAGGACCTAACTCCATGTGCCTGTAGCCTTCTTCCAACAAAGTTCAAGGCCCTGAGCTAGGTGTTACACACTGGTGAGAGGGTTAGCAGTGAGAAGGTGTTGGGGGCAAGGGCAAGGGTGCCGGCCGGAAGGAGCAGGGCAAGCTGCTGGAGGTGCCTACATCAGGGCTGGTCCTTGAAGAAATGGGATGTGGACTTATGCACATGAGGGCGGTGGGTGAAGCGATACACTTTCAGCATGTTGTTGCTGCATCTCAAAAATGAATCTCTGATTTAAAAATCATTGTTCTGTCCATAAAGGGAGCCTGGTGAGTGGGCCCTGGAAAGAGCAAAACTGAACGTGAATGAAAACTTCCTGCTTGTGGGGATCCTCGAAGAGCTGGAAGATGTGCTGCTGTTACTGGAAAGATTTTTACCTCATTACTTCAAGGGTGTGCTCAGTATCTACAAAGACCCAGGTAACTGTAAGCACGTGCTTCCCTGTTTCTAGCGTTAGTCACCTTGAAAAGGACTCTGGAAATACAGGAGTGAAGTCATCTCTTTTGTTAAGGAAGGGAAGTCCCCCTGGCTCACAAAGCAAGGTTAGAGCCATCAGATACGAATGCCCAAACCTTGAGCCTCAGGTCCAAACATAAAGTTGCCATGTTTTAAAGGCTGATGGTTCCATTTTTCCTGCCTTTGGAATGTGAAATTGGCACTGTGTCCATCAGCCTTGTTGCTGATGAGCATGTTGCTGGGGTGAACTAATGCATAGGTTTTGCATGTCTGGGGTCCATTGATGGAAACGTGAAGCGGTGAAGGAACCATCGTGCAATGAAGTATCTCTGGCTCTATTTCCAGTTGACAAAAGCACTCTGGCGAACAAAATCCTGGCAAATAGAATAGATAGAGAGCAAATTGAAAATACAGTTATGATTTTATCCTGGTGAGTGCAGGGGTTTCCAAATAGAAGCAAGAAAGAGGATGCAGCAAAGCAATTACCAAGGTTGCCCGCAGTATCACGATAAATACAATTACTTTCAGAAATCCATTCCTTTTGTCATTATTATTTTATCCTGAGAGGAAAGACAAATGAGATTGTGTGTTTCCTTCCTATTCTCCTAAGCCTTGCATATTTATTCACTCATCTGTTTATTGTTTCATTCTGTCATCTGAAATGGGAGGCAGCCTTCTGCCTTGGAGAAGTGAGGAGCAGCCAAAAGGCTCTTCAAATAGAGCCCGCTGCCTCAAATTCCACAGCCAGGCAGCGGCCTCACACCACACCTGGGTCCTTGGCAGGTACCCATGCCCAAGTAAACTGGTCTTTGCCTGGAGGAGCCCTGGATTCTGTTCCATAAGGTGCCCTCCCACCCCCGGTGTTGCACTGGAGGAAGATGGCTGGGGATGCCACCTCAGTCTCCCAGCTCTCTCATCTAGAGATAAATCCCCATGTACCTAGAGGCAGGGACATGACCGACAACCTCAAGGTGTGCCTGCCTGTGTCTCCTCAGCAGGAATGTGGTTTGAAAAACCAGATGCATAATAAACCCTAAATAGTCGGTTTGGGAAACTAGGTCTTCCTTTGCCCTTTTAACAATTTAAAGAATTTAAGGAATTTAAAGAAACCCGATGTGATCAGTTTTTAGTTCCATAAGACAAGAGAAGCTCTGGTCTTTATGCAAAGTGGGATCTTATCCTAAATGAGACTCCTTTGATGAAAAGGTTTACATTATTCTTTGTTATTTTACCTCTTTGGCTTGATCTTGTATGGCACAAGAGCATGCATGTTGCACGTGTGTGTGTGTGTGTGTGTGTGTGTGTGTGTGTATGAAACATAGTACGAGATAAAAGACTGACTGAATCCTGGAGACACCTAGTTGTCAAATAAGATGAATACAGCCTTGTCCCAGCATCTGGGAAGAGTATCAGTGAGCCCAGGCCACATGTCATCCATCCTGGGATCGGGAACCGACACTAACTCAGATCCCAGATGCCAAGCTCAGCACATCGCAGGTCAACATCGAGGGTGTGGGCCTGAGGACTTAGATGAGGACATTTTTATCTTTGTTCTTCTTAAACACAGATACACCACAAACAAAAGGCTTACCCCAAAGAGCCCACTTAACTGCTGTTATCAGGTTATATCATCTTGACTTCCCAACTGTTTGATTCATTTAAATGCACGACTTCTCAGAAACTATGGGCCTTGGTCCCATGACTGTAGGCACGTTAATTAAAGTAGAACGTATTTCTGAAAATTGAATTACCGTTAGTTTGTTTGCCTTCAGCCACAATCTTTCCACCTATAAATTAAAGACTTTTCCCCCTTTGAGTTTGGGATAGCAAGATACTAATACTCTGAGGCTTCCTCCGAGAGAGAATAAGAGACATCTGGTCCCCTGTGTAGTGGATGAGAGGTTTCTATAAACCCAGGGCCAGCACACACCCAGTTGACACAGTCCAGCTGTACTAGTGGTTAAAATAGTGGAACACATCTATACTGCCTTCTGCGCCGCCCTCAGGTGCACCTGCCCCCCACCCCAACAATGAAGTAATGAGAGGGTCTTCAGGACTCTGGCCTGAATTTAGTTCCTGAATTCTGGTTGTTACATATTTTGAATGTCACCTCAGAATCATTCTTCAGCTGCCATATGTCATATACATAACAAATGAACCTCTGAATGATTCTTCAGTAATTTTCAGTTTCCTGATCTGTTGGCATCTTCTTGAGAGATTTTTCTATGATGGCATTGAGGGCCAAGCAGCTCCATAGTTGCTATGTTTCAAGGACTCTCCACGTCCCCGAGGCAGGGACAGGAGATGACATGCCCTCCTGGCCAGCTTCGCAATATGTTTTAGTTCTGCAAAGACGAACCACCTGCATTGTTTTCTCATGGCCACACACCAGAGAGTTGGTGTCAAATCAGTTAAAAGAAGGGCCACAGTGAGGCCTTGGTGCATTTTTAGTCTAAAACCACAGATTTTGGCACACTCGAATCATTGCTCTTGCCCTTCATAAAAGAATTTTTATAACTGAGTAGCCTAGGGAACAAAGGGAAGAAAAACCAAAAGGTAAGACATTGAGGAACCTCATGACCTTTAAATCCTTGTAGATGACCTGCCCGTGGAGTTGGACTAAGATGCAAACACTCCCCCAGTCGTTCTTCTTTAGTGTATTTCCTGTTACTTAAAAAAAATGCAGGTGTGCTCTGATTTTTACTAATCCCCTTCCAACAACACGAAAAAATATTTATACCAGTCCCGTTGCTAAGAAAAAACATAAATAGCAATGACTATTTGGGAGCTGGTGAAAAAAGTAATGTGTGTCATTCAAATGGGTTGTCACTTATTCCAGATTAGAATGATTTTCATTAATTCTTTCCAATCAGTATGACTTGTTCCAATACCCGCTCTTTAAAGAAATTAATAACTTCTCCTTTAAATAGCAGCTTGCCTGTTTGCCTTCCCCTCTTTATTTCTTGTAGGCAGGTATGCTGACAAGTCAATTTGTTTCCTACCAAACATATGTATTTGAGAAACTTAATTTTTAGAAGATGTTTGTTAGAGTTATTTTATATTAAAGTTGCATTTTGTGGAGACCTGGTTAGTGTATCTCAGAAGTTTATGATAGTAAGTACTCAAGGTGAAATGAAAGTGAAAGTTTTAGCATGAGGGTAACAAGAGAATACACTCGGGTGTTCTTACCATCCAGGGGAAGTTGCTGATATTGCTGCAAGTGTCTTGAGCAAGTGTTCAGTGAACTCGACCCCACCAGGGTATCAGTCTGAATTAGGGAGAACTGAGGCCCAAACAGATTTACAGGCTAAGAGCGATACAGTCTCATTTCTAATTGATTAAGCTTGATTACATTTGCTCATGGCTTACCCTTTAAAAATGAGAAACTGAAGCCAGCCCGAAGAATTTGAGAGACTGACCCATAGTCAACCACCAAATTGTGAAAGAGGCAGAACTCATATTTCTGAGCCATGAGTGTTAACGAGTTCATGTATATTTTTCCTCTTTAGATCTTAAAAACTGGCACACTGTGAGCTATCAATATTTTTCTTAGTCATAATTTCCTTTGGAGCTAAAATCACAGTAGTGTTAAAGGCCAAAATAAATAAACAAATTGAAGACAGAGCGTATGTGAATATTTGTGATAGGATCAGTCATTATGTAAACGTCCCTCATAGAAATCTTTGACTTGGCAAATAACTGAGCTGTTCTAGTTCAATATTGCCACCTAGCATCCAGACATGGAACTCTGTAACCTAATATTAACCCATTACTTTCCATTTGTAGCATTACATTAATATTCATTCTCAGACCATTTTCATTACAAATGTAAATATTGGAGCCACAGTAGGGACTTACTAGACTTTTGTGAGCTACCCTGAAAATCTGGCCACCAACTATTACAGAGGAAAAATGTGTAATTGCAAACAAATGACTAATTTTGACCATTTAAGTTCATTCATAGAGTGGATGTTTTGTTTTTAAAATATTTTTACTTAAATATGTTTATAAATAATGATGATAGAGTACAAATTTAAATATTATCCTTTTACTCAGCATGAATGATACTTAGACCTCCCAACAGGAGTATAATAATGTACTCTCTGAATTAATTTGCTTTGCAGTATTTAAATCTGAAGACATTGACAGAAAATAATAGCAAATATGTCAAAGAGAAATTTTAATATAGTATTCTATAGGAAAAATACAGGTTTTCAACTATCAATAAAAATCTTAATAAGTTAAAAAAAACACTATGTGATTAAATCTTGGCCTGTGTATCATAAAGAACAGTCCTTCTTTAAAAAAACAGCAGTGAGTTGGGAATTAGAAGAGACTTCTAGTCCTCTTTCTGCTACGGGTTCTGCCCATATGAACCTGGCAAGCGTAGCTTTGGGTGGATGATCTCTAAGGTTTGTATTATTATAACACTAAAGTGTCACATAGGATGTTTTAAGGTTGCTTTTCTACCTTTCGTTCTTAGCACAATTATAGGGTGCTCGCCCCCACTCGAAAAAAACAAAAACAAACACCACACAATTTTGAACATTCCCCATTGCCTTACTTAGTAATTTCCAGGTTTAGTTATGGAGACTATCGCCACCTAGAGGACATGACGGAATCCTGGCTAGAGAGTTATTCCTTCAGAATCCGTTTCTCCCTGTAACAAGTGGTCAAGACAGGGATCCCAATTCAAAATCTCTGGTCACATTGTCCAGCCCTTTCTCTGCATACCTTATGCATTTTTTTCAAGAAGACAGGATATTTGTCAATAATACATAATGATTAGAGCACAGACTCTCAAGTCCACAGCCTAGGTGCTACAGCTGTTCCTCCACTCAGCACCTGTATATCAGAGGCAAGCTAGAAGCCTTATAAGCCTGTTTCCCCACGTGTATAATATACATAAACAATACTGTCTACTTCACAGGGTTGTTGGGAGATGTATCTGACCAAATCTATG